AACAACAACAACAACAATCACCCAGCCAGTTAATCAAAACAACAAACCAACTTATTAATCTACAAATCAACCAATCAAAATAGCTAAAAACCAACAAATTAGTCAATCAACCAGCCAACCAACCAACCGGCCAATAAACAAACCAGCAAGCAACCAACCAAACTCAAGCCAAGCAATCAACCAGCTAAGCCACCAAACAGTCAACCCACAAAACCTACCAAGCAAACAACCAATCAATCAAGCAATCCACAAACCAAAAAATAAACCATACAATCAAGCAAATAACCAACCAATTACCCCCCCCCCCTTCCCCCCCCCAAAAAAAAAATGAATGAATGAATGAATTTCTACCCCACCAGGACATCACACAAGCGATAAACACCCGATGACACAACGTGCCACCATGTGGATGAGGATCGCCGTGGAGAGGTCCCAGAAACCGCGTTCAGACATTTGGCCATTTTTATGGCCTGCCTATATTGCGGCCCCTGGCAAAAGCCAGAGTGGGGCTTCAAATAACAAAAAATTACGTCCTAAAAAGGACGTAAGTATGTAATTTAACAAACAAAAAAAAAAAAAAAAAAAAAAAAAAAAAAAAAAAAAAAAAAACTACCAACCAGCTAACTAACTAAACAACCACACAACTAACCAACAAACAAATTATGCCGTCACTGTAGTGCACTCTAAATAATTAATTTACCTTTTTATGGTTTCTTTCCTTCTTGATTTCAAATAGAGACCAGGGTGGCATAGGCAGCAACCCGTCCAAAGGCTATTTAAAAACTATTTGCTCGTTTCATTTACCTTAGCACCGCCAGCGACCTGGTCTAAAATGAATATTAGACAATGGCATTGAAAGGGAAGTAATATCGGAAACAAAACAACTAACCCAAAACCGAATGATCTATTAAAATATTGGTTTAGCACCAGCTGCAAATCTGTAAAGTAAAGGTGTGCGGCACGTTGTTGACTAGATTTGCCAACTAAGAGCCGAGTGATGATTAAATTATGCCTATAGAATTACATACTTAATCCCACATTACATTGAAATGAGATCCCTTACGTAGAGTAAAACTTCGATTAACTGTCACTGGTTGAACCGTCAGATTCTATTCTCCGTTACCGCCATCCCTCCACAAACTTTAAAACTGCCTATGACTTACTTTTGCTGGAAGTGACTTTACTGTACTATGACGTAAGATAGGGAACATCGTCTCGTTAAAAAACTCGAGCATCAGAGACAGAAGGTGATGAGATATTATTTTAAGGAATATGTGTTTATAGTATTATAATATATTTCTCTTCATTTGTCTCTTCTCTTATATTGAAGTTTATATCGATCGTGTTGTAAAATTAAATACGTACAAGGTCCGACAATAAAGTAATAAGACTGATTTTTTTTAATGGCCAAGACAAAAACGCCATCTATGAATAAAAGCAGGAAATTAAAAGAGGAAATCTTCATCTATAATCTGGCAACTTTTCATCACAGCCCGAAAAGCAGACAACAAACAAGCCACCATTCTGTTAACCTAGTCAGATGTGAAGTGTTATGTAATCAGCATGGAGCAAAACATCTAACAATATATTTTGTTTAAAACTCGAAAAAGCGCCATTTCGATAATTAAATTGATGCAACAAGTTTATGGTGTTGATTGTTTATCTTGTAAACAGATTTTCAGCTGGTATTTACAATTCAAAAATGGTGTGGAAATGATAACCAATGCAACTAGACCTGAACGCCGAATTTCTGTTAGAAATGAGGAACTCATTGCAAAACCGGATACAAGAAGATCGTTGTTGGACTTTGAGGTTGATGGTCGTTGAATTTGGTGTTAATACATATACAATTAGTAACATTTTAGTAGAAGATTTGGGGCAAGAAAAAGTTGCCCAATTTTTTTTTTCCTCTTTCATGACAATGCACTAGCTCAAAGGGCCGTAGTTTTACAGGAATTTTTGGCCTAAAAACAGATGCCTGTTCTCAATCATCTACCCTATTTCCCAGATTTGTCTCCCTGTGACTATTTTCTACTCCCAGAATTAACGTTGCCATTAAAAGGACGCTTTTTTGACATTATTGATGGCATCCAAAGGGCCGTAACATCGACTTAAAGGGCCATAACAATGGAAGAACTACAGTGGTCGTTCTAGTGTGCGTTAGATCATGCCACTCGCTGTATCAATGCACTAGGGCTTACTTCGAATAAAATAGACGTTTTATCTTAAACTGTTGATTATTTTAATTTGTATCGATTTTTTTAGTCTTATTACTTAATTTTCGGACTCTGTATGTATGTTTTCTTCAATTTTAATTATTTTTTTTTAAAGTTTCATCCCAATCCCGCAGTGAAATCGCATTACTTTGCATATGTACATACACATCTTTTTTTTATCACTCCATTTGTTTTCTCCACACACCTGGTCAGGACAGTGACGGTTAATCGATGTTTTACTGTACTTGCACAAATCTTTTCTACATTAGGAAGCGGAAAAGACGCCATATCGAACAATTCTGACATCGCGACCATGTCTGGCTTTTGTCATCTACGGCATGTTTTATCTCTGGGCCATGCTCATCACTTTCACGTGCTTGCCCCTATATTTGACCAGTGTTTTAGGCTTTTCTTTGGTGGATGTAAGTATCATATATGTGTATTTGACTAATGTTTAACACTTTTCTTCGGCGAATATAAGTATCATTTGTGTGTAATTGACGTTTCTTTTTACTGGATTTCAGTATTATACGTGTGTACTTGACTAATGTTTTCCGCTTTTAGGGGGTTTATTATTAGAAGTATTTTTTGTATATAATTGACCAGTCTTTGTGTGTGTGTGTGTGTGTGTGTCTGTGTGTGTGTGTGTAGATGTATGTATTAATCGAATCACATAACTTATGTTATCATTTGTCATTAAGAGTGCAAATATAGTTCGTAAAAAAACCATATTCGTTTCTCATATATATACAAATCTATGGCTTGCGAGTTAATGAATGCGTTTTACTATTCTAGATATATCAAGGTTGATTCCTGTGGCGTATGATTTATTTAGCCTAATAATAATAATAATAATAATAATAATAATAATAATAATAATAATAATAATAATAATAATAATAAAAGCGTTCATGGGGCGATGAGGCAAGTGGTATGAAGGTTCAGCTGTGGAAGCGATGAGGTATCACAAAATAAAACTTAACAGGGGTGTATCAACAGTACACTGCGGACGCTGCACATGTTATTCTACAATTATATTTAATGGGTGAAAGTATTGTTCACAATATACTACATTGGGGTTTTATAATTATAATGTTCAACATTTACTGTTTAATTAAGAATATACATCACTGCACGTAGGTCATTCCCGTAAACGCCCTGTCCTCATCTTCAGCAAGCGCAGAGTTACAAATCCTACCACTGTTCTTAGTTCTTCATTGGTGACTATATACTCTGGTTTTTGCTGACGTGTTTCTTATAAATCTCATCTCATATGTTGTTGCTTTGCGTTTATGTACTTCAAGAGCTGTGCATGTACGACATCGAAAGCACTAAGTTGGTACGAATAGAGCATTTATAAACTGCTATTAAAAAAAAAAAAAAAAAAATTCATTTTGACATTTTGCCGCCTAAAAAAATGGGGCTGTTTCGTAATTCATATTGTTCCAGTTCTGTTTTTTTTTTTTGTTGTTGCCATTTTCATTTCTCCTTCCCCAGCGAATCCACTCTTTTGTGTAGATCACTTTTCGTCCCTTTTAGGATGACATTTTTCGTTATTTGAAGCCCTACTCTGGCTTTTGCCAGGGGCCACAATATAGCCTGGCCATAAATATGGCATAAAGGCTGAACGCGGTTTCTGGGACCTCTCCACGTTGATCCTCACACATGGTGGCACATTGTGTCATCGGGTGTTTATCGCTTGTGTGATGTCCTGATGGGATAGAAAGTCAATCAGTCAGTCATAGACTGCCTAATTATTTCAACTCCTTGTTTTAATTTCCCGCTTCTGCAACAGTGATTATAGGTTGAAATGGAGTTCTATTTACTGTAAACGTAACGTTAACCTGCTGAAATATACTATTACTGTTATGTCCTCCAGACAGGAATCCTGCTAGCGGTGCTCGCCTCCCTGCGCATGCCAGCCATGTTGCTATGGTCAGCTTTAGGAAACTGGTTGCTGACTCTGAGATCGATGACAGTCAACCGAGTGAGGAAGACAATGGTGGCGCTCAGTAAGAGGTTTTCTTCTTCTTGTATTCCATGCCAGCGTTCTTCAACATTTTCACATTTGCGCCCAGAAAAACAGCGAAACAACAAATATAAACAAATGTAGATATCAAGTTTTTTTGTTGTTAAATCCTATGTCATAAAATTGCGATTTTCAGCCTATGCAACATCTATTGCTCATAAGAGGTTAGAAAATCCTATATTCGTGGCTGCAAAGTTAATTCTGATAGATGTGACGATGTGTTAATCCTAGAGATTGAAAAATCCTGGAAAAGAAAAGCTAAAGACAACGTATCCCTGTCATATAATTATTCAGAAAGTGTTGGTTTCCCATCATAATTTTTTGCAGTCCACCAGTGGACCGGGGCCCATGGGTTGAACAACACTGGTCTAATCTGTGCAGATTTAATGTTCATGCCTGTCGACAACCTTCTTTCACGTGTTCTCCTGTGATGATTATAGTGATGATGGTGAGAAGCATTATTCTAACCATAATGAAGACGAAGATGAAGCCATCGTTGACAGAGATGAAGTCTGTGATGTTATGATGACGGCAATATTGAAGACGATGATGAAGCCATTGTTGACAGAGATGAAGTCTATGATGTTACGATGACTACAATAATGAAGACGATGATGAAGCTATTGTTGACAGAGATGAAGTCTATGATGTTATGATGACTACAATAATGAAGACGATGATGAAGCCATTGTTGACAGAGATGAAGTCTATGATGTTATGATGACGGCAATAATGAAGACGACGATGAAGCCATT